ACTTTTTAATTCGAATATTCGATCTACTTTTTTTCATAAAAGTTGTACAACTTTTGATATAGCAGGTGGGTACCTGCCTAAAAATTATAATGCTAGACAAATAAATACCGTTATACATTCATGGTTTTATAATATTTCATTGCAAACATTACCAAAGCAACGACATTGCATTATGTGCCACAAAAATAGACGAACAGCATATTTATTAAGTGCATTGAATTAAATTGAAATACCTTTTATCAGTAGATAATAGTATAGTGAATCAATTACACATTGATAAAATTAGGATAAATATGTAAAAATTAAATTTCACACAGTGAGTTTAATTATTTAAAATTATTTTTAACAATTTTTATAATTTTTTTAAATTTCTGTCCTACAGACAAGTGATTCTGCAGATGGAATGTATTTTGTGGAAGATGGAGTGGTTACCATAACAGTTCATGGAGATGATGGTCGTGAAATAGAAGTGAATAAAATTATAAAAGGCGGATATTTTGGTGAATTAGCTCTGGTGACGCACAGGTGAGTGAAAATTATTTTTCTAACTATTTATAGGGATTTAATCTAAGAAATCACAAAATCGAACATATTTAACCTTTGATTTGGTATATTGATTCTAATATCGTCTATTTTTTAAAGTTAATATTCTTACAGTTGAAGTTAATATTATTATCAAATGCTAATTAGAAAATACTTCAAAATTTAAATTTACCGATATTTTAATAATTAAATATAATAGTGTATCGAACCGACCGAACCGTTACTTTATTATTTCTTGAATGAATACTGGAATTCTGTACAAAGGCCTTGTAAGATTAATATTTCCTGATACTAAAGTTTTGCTTGAGATATGCTAAATCTAGCTAGATTATTATCATGTTATATTATTTTGCTTTATATGCAAAATATTTAAAAATTTGAAAATTTATATAACACTTTCTAAATTTTTACTAATTATTGAAATTTCTCCACCAATTATTCAAACTTGATTTTATTTGTTTGTTATCATCCCAAAATCTGTACTTCTTTCTTATGACTTTGCGCAAAGCATTTGCACATTTTTCAAAATTCGTCCACAAGCATCTGTCTATAAATCTGAACAATTTCTGAAATTTTAAATCCACTTAGAATTTTTTTTACCGCTATTCCATAATTTAATTTGCTATCTAGACCACGAGCAGCATCAGCCTATGCCCACAATAACGTTAAACTTGCATTTCTGGACGTCGATGCCTTTGAGCGATTGCTCGGACCTTGTATGGAATTAATGAAAAGAAATTTTGATGATTACGAAGAACAATTGTTGCGAATTTTTGGCTCAAAAACCAACATTAGTGATCTTCGTGGTGAATGAATGGATGAATGTCTTGCGAATGAAAAAAATCGATGTTGTCTTGGCATGATTGATGTTGTTACTCACTCCTGATCCTTAATTTTTAATTTGTCAACTCAATATCTCCGTATAACGTAGTAATACTTTTTATTCAAATAAATCTATTTTATCATTTACGTTATGTTATCTTTGATCCATCTAATCTAATCTAATTATACACAACAACCGATTGCTGTATAAATTCTTGAATAATTTGATAATAAGATAATAAGTGATAATAACATCTCTAAAAGCATATACTGAATTATTGACCAATGATAAGTCATTATGTAATTCTACAATTTATTCAAAATCTACAGTATTATCTAATTCATCGCTTCAATATCAATAACCTTGTGTTTATACCGAAGGGTTAAAATTATAATATCGCCTTTCAGAAACACTGGATTACAATCGCAAAATTATTATTAATGTTTAAAATTAATCAACTACCATTGGACTACTTTTTATACATAACAGTATTTATTTACTACCATTCATTCATCGAATTCAAATATGCTTTACATAAGTTTCTATGTCGAACAGTGAAATTTAAAAACTCGCACTTATATAATTAATATTTATTATTTAAACTGATTCGTTGGATTTTTAATGAAAATCTTACGATATGTGCTAAGCAATGTAGTAATGATTAATTTCAACGTCTATAGTTTGCAATATCTGGGTTACAATACATATAACAACATATTGAATGAACGCAATAATACGTCGGCGTTCCATTTGGCTTATTTATAATCGAATTAAATATTTATGTTACCTGTAGAAAATAATGTAAACACGGGATAATTAATGTTAAATCATTTGTTCAACAGTATTCATACAAAATAGCGCGTTTTAGTTCGAAAAATAGTTAATTTAAAGGAAAGAAAATGATGACCTGTGTTTGCCAGGTTTTTCCAGTTTAGGTTTCATCATAACCCTTTAGGTTTCATCATAACCTTGTATTTTAATTTTCTGAAAATCTTTAAATATTACTAAAAAATTTGTAAAAAAAGCTTTTTTACGTAAAGCTTAATTTTTATTTCATTGTTTTTTTATATAATAGAAACTTAAATTGAAGTTAAACCCTTGGTCATTTGGAATCCGCAGGATAAAGATCATAATTTAATGGAGTTAAAAGATTTATGATACGTTATGGTCTAAATATCCAATATACATGATTATGTACTGCATATCTCAGTTTACATCAATTAATTTAATTAAACAACGCGATTTTCAAGGTTTGAATGCAAGAATGCCTAAGAAGCACCTCCAGCAATTTATTCTCATGATCTTGTAGGCGACTGATAATGCAGAATTGACAAATAATCGCAAATTGACTATCTGGTGCTGCTAAATAATTATTTCAAAGTTATTAAATATGATTAATGATTCGATCTATGTCGGAATTGAATGGCAGATTTGAACTTAAGGTGGATAGTGTTATTTGCAAGTTTATATCTCTTGTCTATGGTTATTTGTTATTTCTTGGACATGTTGCTAACCCTAAATTAAGTCGTAAATAATGACTGATATGAACCAGAAATCAGTGGTTTGACACCATTTTATTAGAATTTCACGTAACTTAAAAATTATTATGCCTGCATTTAAGATGCAAGTTGGTCCAAATAGCTTTCTCACGGCTCTCCAAGGCAGAAATCAAATCTGGTATAACTGTCAGGTCCTTCAGGCCACGAAGAAGCCATTGAAAATAAATTTTGATCAATCTATTACCAATTGACTATTACTATTACTATTTGTGAATTGTTTCTCGTGTTCTGCAACAATAGGAAATCAGAAAGTATTTTGCGAGAAGGCGTACAAATACAAATCAACGATATGTATTAACAATAAACATTATTCCATAATACTTAGTTGCGTCATTCTGATCTGAATTTAAGACAAGATCTAGATTTGTGACCCTGGTTTACTTTCAATTGATATGTGTACCACTGAGTGAGATGTGTACAGCTGTCTTGAGGGCAATCATGGACATATGAGTTATGGATAAGTTAATCAGTAAATTAATATTTTATGAAATTAAAAATATGAACTCATATTGATGGTATTCATACATTTGTAATCAAGGAATATATTCAAAATCCTAATGTTATCTCGATAAAAAATATAGGTCGATGATCCAGCCATGAATAGTTTTTTTATCACACAATATTTTTTATAACACTTTGAGAAGGATAACTTTAAAGTCTTGAAAAATACAAAAATCTGCTGATCATTTACGTTGATTTTGAGATATAGCCCTGGTTATGTTCTGGTCGAATTCTCTGGCAAGTGAGCTTGGATGATCTTCGAGGCGACTTTTGTACTTTCCGAATAAGTTCCTATTGCCAAAAATTATTTCCTGGCAAATTATCGCTAGGTAGATTTATATAACAATTTATTCATGCATCAGGTCGTCGAAAGTGACCAGCTAGTATTCATATTTTCCACAATTGAAAATATGAATTATCATGTCGGAAAAAGAACGTCTTATTACACGACATTTTCAACTATATTAAACAAAATCGCTTCATAATGGAATAATGAGACAGTAATTTAGTCATACATAACCGTCTTTGATTGTACGAGACGCAATGATTGAATATTTTTTTACTTT